CCTTTAGGTGCCTAACCAGGATATGTAACCAGCTCTTTTGAAAATCTGGCCCTAAACATAGTCACTAAAATTCAAAAGTATCTAAATGAGAAGTAGAAGTTCCATTTATTTGATGCACTTTATGAATTAAAAACATCTGTTCCCATTATTCTTTTACTAATCCTGCCCCAAATTTCTATTGCCAGTAGCATTCCCTATGAACTATCAAAAAGCTAGGGGGAAGTATACAATTACTAATGTAAAAAGAAAACCTTGTCCTATTACTGAGAAACAGAAAGTTTATTTAAAAATAAACCCTTAAATATAGGATTTTTGAAAACAAGATATATGATATATCTATTATGATTTTTCAGCTTGAGTGGGTGTATGTAGGTGTTAGTATTTCATAGACTTCAGGATGGGACCACAAGTGTGTCACTTATCTTCAGCTGTACAAAACGTGTGGCTACTCACTCATCGTGGGAGGAGTCGAAAGGGCAGGGAATTAATTGTATTCCGTTAATATGGGCATGTGTGTAGGAAAAATATCCTTAGGCCAAGAAATGCAGAACTCTAAGTGTGCCTAGTGTGCTTCCTAAAACTATGGGCAAAATGCTGCCAATGCTGGAACATTTTCAATTTAAGAATCTGTCTGGGAAATCAAAGGGCTTAGCAGAATCCACTGCTTCTGTTGGACGCGTTATATCCTCTGCACAGTGCTGAAAGCGCGCCAGGCTGCAATAGGTTGTAGACCCAGGAAATAAAATATGTACAACTCAAGTTGTACATGAGTCAACAGTGTGCCCTTATAAGTCCACAGTGTGCCCTTGTTGCCAAGAAGGCTAACGGCATATTGGGCTGCATTAGTAGGAACATTGCCAGCAGTTCGAGGGAAGTGATTATTAGCCTCTATTCGGCGCTGGTGAGGCCACATCTGGAGTCCTGCATCCAGTTTTGGACCCCCCACTACAGAAAGGATGTGGACAAATTGGAGAGAGTCCAACAGAAGGCAACGAAAATGATTAGGGGGCTGGAGCACATGACTTATGAGGAGAGGCTGAGAGAACTGGGCTTATTTAGTCTGCAGAAGAGAAGAGTGAGGGGGGATTTGATAGCAGCCTTCAACTACCTGAAGGGGGGGTTCCAAAGAGGATGGAACTAGGCTGTTCTCAGTGGCAGCAGATGGCAGAACAGGGAGCAATAGTCTCAAGTTGCAGTGGGGGAGGTCTAGGATGAATATTAGGAAAAACTATTTACCTAGGAGGGTGGTGAAGCACTGGAATGGGTTACCTAGGGAGGTAGTAGAATTTCCATCTTTAGAGGTTTTTAAGGTCAGGCTTGACAAAGCCCTGGCTGGGATGATTTAGTTGGGGTTGGTTCTGCTTTGAGCAGGGGGTTGGACTAGATGACCTCCTGAGCTCTCTTCCAACCCTAATCTTCTATGATTCACATCCATCAGTGCTTTGGGAGCCCCAGACACTGCGGTAACATCCTAGGTGGACTCCTACACTGGAGAACTATTACTGCAGTGCACAGTGTGGCTAAGTGCCAGATTCCCCCTTCAGAATATGTAAATGTTCCATGCTGGAAGAGTTGATTCACTCACATGTACATGGGGTACCACGTTTGAAATGCAAAAAACCCTGGCATCCACCCCACCCACGAGGCAAGCCCGCCACATCCCCAACCTCCAACCACAAAGCAACTCCACAGCGCCCCCCCCCAATATCCATGTATAGTATCTAGAGAGATAACACATACAGATAAGATTGATAACATTACACATCTCCTCACTCTCACATGACTCAAACCCTCTCACACACGTGCGGTGTGCTTGCGTGTTGATGGGCAGACAGCTGCTGTATTTTCAACAGTTTTGATCTATTATCACTTAAACTGTGGAAGTAGGAACACTGCAACATTGTTAGCTGGACACAAACGTTTAACATTAGATATGCCAATGTATTGTGATACTAATGCAAATTTTTAGATCCACGTAAAAAAAAACTCCGACAGATTAAGTTAATTTTTTGGAAACTGACAAATCCATAAAAAAAACCCGGCCAGGCTGGTCAAATACCAGCCAGGAGGTGACCCTACATGTACAGTGAGCTTTATAAAATAGATGGTTCAGATAAACAGCCCCCCTGCATCCTTCTTCAAATACTTATCTTTCATATCACACCCGGCAGTGCCTAGCTTTCCTCTAACACACCAGGATCAGAGAGAATTCACCAAATAGTGAACAGCGACTGTGGCCTCAGGGCCGGCGCAACCCATTAGGCAACCTAGGCGGTCGCCTAGGGCGCTACAATTTCGGGGGCGGCGATCGCGGTGGTATTTCGGCAGCGGGACCTTCCGCCGCCTCTGTGGGGGGGGCGGCATTTCGGGGCGGGACCTTCCACCGCCTAGGGCGGCAGAAAAGCTGGCAGCACTACTGTGTGGCCTCAATAGCCAATGGGCAAATGCTGCTGACCAGACTGTAAACCCCAGCTCAGCTTTGTAAAATATATATGAACTGGCACATGAAGAAATATTTTGAAGCGGCAGAGCTGAATATCGTCACTTGATGGTATTTTGGTTCAAAATACTGTTGTTTTTAAATTAAATCTGCACAGAATAATCTAAACTAGAGATGAAAAGCCATATTTGGTCATCTACGCCATGCCTTGCCAAAGCAGGATTGTTTCAACCAATACTGCATATTATCTAGTGCTTTCTTCAGTCTAATTTTAAATGGTCATGTGAATGGGAACTCCTCCTGGGGAGACTATGCTGCAGCCTAATCCCAGTCAGAAGTTTTTCCTGATTCAGCCTAAAGTCTCCATTTCTTAAATTCATCCCAATACTGCTAGTTATATATGCCCCTTTGCCCCTCTCTAACTAATCCCTCTCCAACTTTGGTGTTTACATCCTTTCAAAACTTGTAGTCCATTCTGCTGTTACCCCACAGCTGCTGCTTAGCTATACATATTCAGTTCTCTCAATGTTTTT